CAGCACACACATGACTTTCCTGGCTTTCTTGGCTTCCAGCACTCCATCCTCAACATAACTTCAGGGGGAACCTGCTAGTGTCAGTAACACACACAGGTAATGGTTTCTAAGCATCCTTTTGCAGCAAGTTCACACTTCTGATGTAATTTCATTCCCTGCTGGTGTTAGCAGGTCTAGACTGAGCTTTGGGGTTAATGCCAGTGCATAAGAGTGGGATTGACTGACTCTGACTTTTTTTAGCTAAATACACCAATGCAGTCATCTTCTGGCTACAAATATCCATGGGGAGAGTAGATGTGTCCTTTAATAACAGGGAGAGTGCTTAAAAAAAGAACATTTTATTGCTGTGCTGCCTTCAGCCCAGTAAATTGCAGCATTTTCATTTTCCTGTATTTATTGCATTGAAGTGTTTATATCACTGTGAAGCAAATATTTGCTTTCAAAGGTCACTCACTGTATCTCTCCTCCTCTGGGGATAGACATAGTTCTCTCTGAGCCTTCAGTATTACTCCATATGGATTATATAATGTTCTCACTTAAGGATTCTTTACTGCATCTTGGCACTTCTGAAACAGCAGATGCAAAATTCAAAGTATAATAGGCAGTGCCCTTCCATTAGCCTGTCTCTCTTTGTATTTCTCTCTAACATTCAGTCTGTTGTGTTTCTGTATGAGCACTGGCATAAGGTACAAGACCATCTGCAGGGAATTTGATGTAAATGACCCAAGTTCCTGGAGTTACTTGCATTCTGTATGAGACACAGAGAACAGCCTGGAACATGTTGTACACAGTATTTTGTAGCAATATTTGGGCTTTTTTCTCCCTTTCAAAGAGCACCGTGGATGTTTGTGTGTGAACACAGCGGATTTCCTTTTCCGAAATGGAAAACCCAAGGTCCTCATGAAATTTTGAGGCTGAATTTGTATAGGCAATTACTGCAAGTATAAACATAAATTGAGTGAAAGTAGGGTCTGTAACTTCTGTAGCAACCTTTTTTTTAAAAAAAAATCAAATTTTTAGATCAAAAGAGCTTAACATGTTACATCCCTACTTTGGTTTTCTGATCAGTCATCTCTGTAGGAACTGTAGATAAAATAAAATGCACTTTAAGTTAAAAGTACAGAGAACACTTTGGAGAGTTTATTCCAGTTATATTAGAGTTCCTAAGGCAATTGTAGGGTTTTGATACTTGGTTCAAATTAATTTGAATGAGAAAAGAATGCAAAATATCAAGTAGTACCAAAAATATAAATTCTGCGAGGAATTTATTACCCTAAGTTCTCAATGCTATCTTAGTCCTGTTTCTGTTCTACTTAAACAAGAGCAGGTTTCAGTGGGCCTGAGCCAGACCTTACACTTCTGAAAGTCTGTCTAGTATCATTTAGAGCAAATTCATCATGGTATAACTTTCCTTGACCATTCCTGAAATCATTAATTTTCAATGCTTTACAGCATCAGGAGTTTTAAACAAAAGCTTTTTGTAAGTGTTCCTAAGAAACACCATAGAAGGAGAACTGTTAATTTGTACTTTATAGCAATAATTCCCTTTAAAAGATAATTCTTCTCTCTACAAGATTTTTGTTGATAACAAGGTTTGTTGTTGGAAATTCATGACACTGGAATGGCATTTCAGCCTGAACAGGACTTTTCAAGGAAAATCCTATATCTTATCTATTTCAAATAATAAATTGTAAAATCTGAAAAAAAGTTAAACTAATTCCCTGCCATCTACAAAATAGATGTAGTTTATCAGACTGTATGAAAATCAGTAACCTTTATTGATTCTTGGGCATGGTTTTCTATCAAATAAAGTTGAATCAGCACAGCTGCGGGGCACTTCTGTTTATGACTAAAACTTGATGTAAAATGACTTGACTGAAGAATGCTTTTTGCTACTTCTCATTCCATTCTAAGTGCTTTACAAATACCAAATAATCTCAAAAAACCTGTCAAGTTCGATCACTTGCTGCACAACATCTCTCTGGTTACAAGCTCTGACACTTTTTTTAGTTTGATGGAAAATAAGACGAGTCTGTCACTAAGATGCCAACTGATGGTTCTAACAAACCAAGAAGGGTAACTAAAAAAAACCCCACAAGAGCATGGAGTGACAGGACAAGGGACAACGGCTTCAAAGTGACAGGCAGTAGGTTTAGATTAAATGTTAGGATGAAACTCTTGACTGTGAGGATGGTGACTCACTGGAACAGGTCATCCAGAGAAGATGTAGATGCTACATCCCTGGAAGTGTTCAAGGTCTGGTTGGATGGAGATCTGAGCAACCTGGTCTAATGAAAGATATCCCTGTCCATGGCAGGGGTTTGGAATGAGATGATCTTTAAGGAACCTTCCAACCCAAACAATTCTGTGCTTCTGTGAAAGTTTCTCTATATGGTTTATTTTTTTATTTTTTTTGCGATACCTATCACCACCACTGGCTCATGATCAAAAAAATTGTAAGGAAAACATCAAAAGTCAGACTGGAATCTACCTGAGAATAGAATTTTCTAATAGAAGTTTTTTTATCTGCAGAGACTAACCAACAGTCAATAAGTAAATTACTGTTGTCAGTAGAAGCCCTCATGTCACCTCCACTCACTTACAGGTCTGTAATTATTCAGCTCACACTGGCTATGCTTAGAAAATAAACCAAATCCCCTGTTAGCATCCCACCCTCTCACTGATGCATCACCTCCCACTTTACAGCTAGTGAGATGATACCAACAGACACAGCACACAACCACTTTCCTGCCCCTCAGCATTTATATGTATTTACCAGTTAGATCAGTCCCAAAGCCCTAAACAAATGGTCCTCATTTTTGCTAAAGCTTGGTGCTACTATTCTGCCAGCACAAGTGTAGTGAGGGGTCCAGGCAGAGGAGAATATTTTAACTAGATGCTCGAAAACTAGGTCCACAGATTTAATCTTGATGTTCTGGTACAGAGGCTATGCCAGAAATATTTCAGCTCTGGGTTATGCCTCAATCTGGGAAAAAAACACAATTTGTGGAGCAGTGACCAGTGCTAGAACCAGCCTGTGTCAAGTGGGACAGTAGAGCATGGTTCTTTACTGAAACAACTTCTTTTTATCCCACTTGAGTATGCTCCATTTGGTGGCCAGGAGCAGTTTTTTCCTGGAGCTGGGTGCCACGAAGGGCACCACCAGCACAGCAGCAGGGTGGGAAGGTTGGGGTGGCCTTGAGAGTATCCCCACACTTTCACACGCCCTTCTGGAAGAGACCACTTCCCGGTTTATCTCTGCCTCCTAAATATCCGAGTGCACCACTTTTTTGTAAAGCTCATTTCCTGCTGTTTGTGAGCATCCTTGAAGTGTCTGATACCAGCCTGAATATTAGCCATGAAATTAAGCTCTGCCTTGGCATCAGCCGTGGCTGCAGATGAGTTGCCTAAGCTTGGTCCTTCACACTGCTGTGACCACACAGCTGGCAGGACCAGGTGTCCTCCTTCTCCAGCAGACATTTGGGCTCCTACGCATGGTGTGACCCATCACAAAATGTCAGCCTCCCTCTGACAAGGATGTGGTGATATGCTCAGTGATGAAACTAGAATGCCGTAGCCCTGCCAGTAGCTGCAGGGCTGACTCCTCGAGATGGATTTCTTCCTGCTGTAGCTTCAAAGAGGAAAAGCAGCCATGAGTGAGGGCACAGCTAATGTGAAGGCATGAAGGTCACATATTCCCTCTTAGATAAGAAAAACAGCAAATCTGTTGCTGAAGCTGCAGAGGAAACACAAGGAGCTGTCTGCTTTCCTTGCACCTTTCTAAGCAAACAGGGTGTGATCTAGAAAATATTGTTGCCACCCAGCTGCATCTGCTCAGCCCATACTCCTGATGTCCTGATGGAGAGCACCATCAAAGAGAAGAATAGTTTAATTTCCAGTATATAGTAACTTCCATTTAAACACTGTTGTTATTGTTAAAATTTTAGAGCCGAGCTCTGCCCTGACTTATCTTGTTTCATAAAGGCTGCACGTATCACAAAGACAGGACAGAAAACAGCCCCCGGGATCCTGCCTTCTTTGGAGCAGCTTTGCTGAAAGAGGCTGCTTTTGTCCTCTTTCTGTAATTGAGCATGATGGCATCTGCTTTATGGCTGTTTACTTGCAGTCCCCCACAACTTCCCCACCTCCTCTGCACCTGCAATTAGGTTTTCCTGCAATGAACAAATCTAACATTCACTGAGCAGTAATTTGCAATGTGCCATGCTTGAATCAAGCAAAGAAATAAGCCAGTGTTGTTGTTATAAAGATCTGACAGATGGTAGGAGGGCCCGCCTTTCTTAATCAAGTCATGCTCAGTAATCAGAGATAGCTTGAAATTGTAACAAAAAAGAAACCCTACCAAAATGAGGATTAATGGGCTGCATCCTGACCTCGGGTTAGGACCAGCTCAGGGATGTCCTTCTGTATCAAGAGGGATAACGAAGATCAGAATCTGACCCACTTTGTGGAGAAGTGGAAAACACCAGTTAGGTCCTACAGTGACTTCCCCAAAAATGAAGGATTCTCCCAGATAGACTTTTCCCAGTCTAGCTGTAAATATTATTTCATAGTCTGAACTATAGCATGGTGAACAAGTCATTAGCCAATTAAAATCTGCAAATTTTCATAGGTTTTAATTTAATTGCAAATGTGTTAGCTGAGCATCCAGCCCTCCATGCAATGCAACTGAAACAGGACATGAGTAGCACAGGCTTGACCTTGACCACCCTCACATTAAGCCTCTTAATTCTAGAGAAGAATGAATGTGTTTCAAGATTGTTTCTGGCAGCAAATAACATCTCCTGAGTGTCAAGCTTCCGTATGAATTGCATTTGAAAGGTTAAGAAAAAAGGAAGGATTTGCTCTCTACTACATAGGAATTACTATCCAGAACAAGAGTCTGAGTGAGGACACTGATGTAATAAAAACATTTTTGTGGGACTGACATTTAGGCACGGCTCCTAACCACACTGTTTCTTTTCCTTTTCATTGTCTTTCAGGCTCACAAAGCAGCTGAGAGCAAATCCTGATCTGCAGCTTCCCCAAACACCCCCACAGCTAAAATGGCGGAAGACGCGGATATGCGCAATGAGTTGGAAGAAATGCAGCGGCGTGCCGACCAGCTCGCTGATGAAGTGAGACCAGTAGCTAAACTGGGAACTCGGGGCTGGGCTGGGTGTGAAACACACAGCCAGAAATAGGAGCTGATCTGGCAAAGCATTTCTAGAGCTCTTTTTCATCAGCTTTACACTGAAAGTGTAAATGAAATGAGCTGGGGTAAAATTTAATGTCGTGTTTAGTCTAGATGAGGCATTTATTGATTGTGAGTTTGGTTTAGGTATTAGATTGTGCATCAATTTGACTGGCCTCAGAGCAAAAGGCAGCAATTTAATATTTTCTGAGGATTCTTTCAATTTGTCAAACCTATTAAATGTTAGAAGTCACCAATTAGATTTCTGAAGAGTCTTAGCTGAAAACTACAGGCTTTATTTTTGAAGTGGAACACCTGTGGTTCCGAGCAGCACCTCTGCAGTGTGTGAGCAAGGGGAGCACAAGCCTGGGAGACTGCAGCTACCTTGAGACATGCTGGGAACTGCTGCATTAACCATCCATAGAGCTGGAGATGGAGAGATCACCAGTGCCCTGCTGATGGCCTGATTTAGAGGGGAGGGAAAGAGTGCAGGAAAAACATCCTGTCAGCATGAGCCTGCACATTAGCTTCGGAAAGTGCAACTTGCTAAATCTCAGTGTTTTTTCCTGTTTCTTTTCAGTCTCTTGAGAGCACCCGTCGAATGCTGCAGCTTGTCGAAGAGGTAAGGACTTGTATTTTATTTGCACTTCCGTTGTGAGCAAAAGTGATGGAGAGCCTGACACTGGAGGTGGTTTTCTTTAAAACTCACATTGCTAGGGCCTGGCCATGGCTTTATGTGCCACTGTCCATGCTCATCCTTACCCCTCACTAGGGCCGTGCAAGACACTGTTCCCTGCTTGCCAAGGCACTGGCTCGGTCGTACCTGAGGATCCAATAAGACAGGATTCTGGAGATAAAGGAAGGAAATGGCCTCTGAAAGTGACCTTGAGTCAGGGACAAGTGGCTGAGTTTGCTTCAGAGCTCCTCGTGCCAGCACCACTCTCATGTCCTTGGTATAACACTGCAAGAGGGGAAGGTGAGAAGGGCCCTTGAGCCATTTTCCCAGTCTGCTTTAAATACTTCCCTCTCCATAAACACTTGCAGCTATTTATGGAACATTGGTCAGCACAGCATTGAAATGCTATTTCTTTATGTATCTCTGAAATATTTATCAGGATTTCAAGGCTCACAAGATGTCCTAGATTGACACTTTGGAACTGGGAATTCTCTGATTTTCCATGGTGCTAAGGAAGGGGACCCTGGCTCGTTCCTCACAGCTAATACCTGCCTGGAGGGAAAAAACCAATTCAGTCAGGCCATATTTCACCCTCTCCACAATAAAGGGGTTTAAAAGTTGGAAAATCTCAACTCAGTTTAGTTTTGAGTGTTCAGCCATCAGGTGGTGGAAAACTTTGCTGCTGCCTGACAGGATGTATTATTTTCAGACACCATGCAAGCCCTGTTGCTGGAGCTGGTGACATTTTTAATCAGGGTCATCAGCACTGACAGTCCCAGTACTCCTGACAACCAGAGGAGTCTCCAGCAGAGACAACGAGAAGAAAATTACATCAGGTCTCATGTTCAGGAACAAGCACAACCCCAGCCGTAGGCTTTATGGCCTTGAAATCAATCACCACTGTGAAGATCAATGGAGTCCAGCGGAGACAAAATTAAATTTCCATGTACAGACAGACAGATGGGTCACTGAGCATAGTCAGCATCACTCCTCCTCCACAAACACTTTAGATAGGGGCCCTGAAACCAGCTCTTGTCTCACGAGCAATCTGTCCCTTTTTGCTGCTCAGTTCCCTGGACACGCCATTCCCAACCACCACTCTCCATCAACTCTGTGCTGGATGCAGCTCCTGCTGAAATCAATTCAACAACGTGGAAGAAAGTCTCATATGAGTACCCTCACAACACAAGGCAGCAGAGCCTGCTGCCCCAAAATGCCTGGGATCTAAATAGACAAGGCAGATGATGAGTGGGAAGAAGGAGAGGCGCAGGAAAGGGAAGTGATTTGCACAGGGCCAAGCCATCAGTAAATATCAGCCCTGCCTCTCCTGAGCTGTATTTGTGGGGCCTATGCACTGCCTGAGTCTTCCTAACATATTGAACCAGCATATTGTGAATGCCACTGGAATTTCAGTATTAAATCACAGCAAATGGCAAAGTGGGAGGAGAACTGGGACTGCTGAATTTACCAATGAATTTATGTAGGTCTGTAGCACTTCTTGGAAGAGCTCAGCATCTCTGGACCTGGCATTTATTCAGATGCCACAGTATCTTCCTGTCCAAATAGAGAAGCTGCTAAAACTAGCACTGAGTAGTCAAGGGAGTTCTTCTAAAATGAGCTGAATATTATTTTCACTAATGTGACTACAGAAGACCTTTAAAATTCTTCTGTGGCCTAAACAGCTGGTTGATTACTCCAATCCCTTTTCCTAGGTACTTAAAAAAATGCAGCATTTAGGGCGTAAGAGATTTTATACCAAAAAGACAAATGGTGAGAGTATTTGAAATTGAACTTGCACTGCTCTGATTTAATAAACCCCAAAAATCCAATTAGACTTCCTCACTTAGCAGAACCTGCCTAGTGAATAGAGATAGGAAATACACAGGGAAAGAATGCTTTTTATTCTGTTCTCTTGATACAGCAAATCTGTTACTCCTTTCTTAGGAAAAGGATGTCTCCATGTTTAAGGATTAATACTGTGCACCTTTGTATGGATAGGTGTCATGATACTGGGGAAATTCAGCATAAACAGACGGACTGGACTCCATCCTAGAGACAGAAGAGTGCTGTCCATCCAAGGAAGCCCTGTAGCCATGTAAGGCCTAATTGCAGGTCATGGCCTGGGGACATGTCCCCAAAGGACATGCCCTGCTTGCCCCAGGAGAATATTCAGAGTTTGGAGACTAAGCCCTGATGCTGTTCCCAGGGAATGTGGGCAAGGAAAACCAAGGGTGTTATTGCTTCTTGGTTTTATAACCCAGCTTTGCAAAAAAGGCTGATTTTTCCAGTCCTGGCACAAGAAGGGAAGCAAGAAGTGTTACAAAAGCAGCCACGGCTTTGCCCCAAGGCATCTCTGTACTGGAATGGCAGATTCCAAAACCCAGTTTGTTTCATGGTGCCCATCATGCCCAGGCAGTGCAGTTAATCTGCACTGACCAGTGCTCTTTCGAGTCACTCTGTGCTATAAATATCTGTATTTTATGATGATGCTGTGCAATGTTTGGACCAAAACATAAAATAAAAACGAAGCGAGGCAGAAAAAGTGAGACTAAATACAGTTTGTAGCTGACCTTCTTTTCATGTTCAAGCTTTTTACCTCTAAGACAACATTATGCAATGCAGAATATCACATGCAGGGAGAAAAGCTGGGAGTTTGCTCCCATCTCCCAATGTCACCACCATGGCCTTCATTGAAAATGAATTGTGGTAGTATGGGGGAAAAAAGGATGTTTTGTAGCTATGAAGCAGCAAGGAAAAAAATAACAAATCAGTAGTGGTAAAAGCTCAGAAGAAAGCACTTAGGAATGTACAGACAAAAGGGCTGTTTTGTACATTTAAATCCAGACAGGACTATCTTCTCTCATGTGAGTGAGAGTGAAGTATCAAAGGTGAAATGTTGAGCTATAAATGTCTGATAAGTGATGCTGCCCTACACAGGATACTGAACAAACAGAATGCCATTTCACCAGCTGTGAGTTTACCCTGACATTTATTATCACAGCCAAATGCTTCTTAGTCTGAAAAACAGAAGAAAAAGAGCTCTATTAATTTGCCCTAAACCTTGTCAAAGCTGATTTGAAAAACCCTTTTGATATTTTTAGACTTATTGGAACTATTGAACTATTGGAATAGCTCTCCTCAGAAAAATGTTTTAACCAGTGTAATTCCACATATCTGGCACGAGGGAATGTGGTCCATAATTCTGGTCTCACTTCCTCCAGTGCAGGATTAGAGCCCTTTGTGTGTGTTAACCAGGGGGTAGCAGATTCACATGGGCTGAGGATGTGATTTACCAGGCAGAGCAGCAGTGTGTGGATCTTTAATCAGGGAGACATCGGAGCGTTGACAGGGTGACAGGGAACCTGGAGCAGGAGCTGAGCAAATTCATTACTACAGATGACTAAAAAATGTTTCTTTGAACACATTTTTGTCTTTAGGGTGTTGACAGTTCTTTTTAGTGTCTATGGGAACTGCTAGTAATGTCAGCCGGTCCTGGCACATAATGGTCTATATTAATTTATTCAAAACGAACTCTATAATTTTGGATTAAGCAAAATTCTTCATTGAAGCAGAAGTTTACGTGTTCTACACATAATTGAGAGTGTATGTATGTTTTTCAGGATATCTTCTGAAATGCAGGGAAAATGATTTCCAGAATTTGGATTTTCTATCTGATACATCATCCCCTTATAGTGTTAGGAAAATCTTCCCTCAGGCTAAACCAAAATTTGAGTAGCTGCCTTTGGTAGGATAGGACCCAACACACTGTGTTCTTGGAGGGACTGATGAGCCCTTTGAGAAGTCATTCCAATTGTCTTCCCACTTTTATTTCTGTATTGGGAAATTAAGTTCTGTAACAGCAATAACAAGAAAGGACACAGCAATGCAATTCCCTTCCAAAATGCTGGGCAAATTTTAGTGAATGTTTTGTTGCTGGCTTGCTTTGAGTGAAACTATCACAAAAACACAAACAATCAAACAAAAAACCCGAACCAAAGCAACCAAAAAGTTTTAAAAAGCTATTACAGAAGACTAAGGATAATGTCTATTAAAGCCTCCAAAAGGTGTCCCAGTTATGCTGTTAAACTGGCTTCACTGAAGCACTGACAAACTAAAGTATCTAAAAGTTGAATTAAGCCCGGAGGTTAAAATCATATATTCTGGTTCTTTGATTAATAGCTTTGCCAGTGGCCAAATGGAGAACCTGGGCACGTGCTTCATATAAATGATGCAGAGCCCAAACCAGTGCTGCTTTTCCATTTGCTTCTATTCAGGCATTAGAGCCTGGATGAAAGACTGAAGGACATTAACTTTCCTAAAATGTATGGGGTCTGTTGCACGTAATGTGATACATTTTTAAGTTGGATGTGTTGGCCTCCTGCCCTGAAGGATCATCTCATGTGCAATATTATTACATATATTATATATTTTATCATCTGCAGAATACCTTCATTATGGATAAACAGAGAAACTCCAGAGCTACCAGTTTAATGCCTCAATATAAGCAATTCATGCTGTGCCATTTTCTTCTAAAGGACAAGAATGTGAGAGGTTGGCTGTGCTATGGAAAAATCCAGCAGTCCAAATTGTCCTCATAGGTGCAATGAGAAGACAGGGAGAGTCAGAAGTTGTTCTTAAAAGAGATTGGTGTTACAGATTAAAGAGCTGCATGAAAATGGCATGTGCTCTATGAACTCTGGAGGGTCCTGTGAAAGATGCATTTTTCATCTCTCTGGCCTGACCTACCCATAGCATTTCACTTTTTTGAGAATCCTTATGTTGCTGCAAACTGAACAGGATTGCCTATACAAGGACTGGAAGGTCTGAAGACATTCCTCCATTGCACAGGAAGGAAGAAATGCTCTAATCCTTGTCAAATGGAACTTTAGCACAAAATTTCATACCATGATGGATCCCATGAGTTCTACCCATTCATGGCTTCCCACACAGGATATCATTGATGTTGGTGGATGTGTTTGGGAATCCTTCCTGAGCACTCAGGACCAGACAAACCCAGGCATAGTCACTGGGCCCATGGTGATGAGAGTCTGTCATCAAGGATTTAGGGGCAGAGGTTGTAAAACCTGTCCTTCCGGACTGGCACTTCACAGGAGAGCTTTCATCACCTCTGTTACACATTGTCCCATCAAGCAGCTAGAGGGAAACCTGCTCCACTGCGACCAAGGGAGTTTCTGTGATACTTCTAGTGCAGGAAATGCCAACATGCCTGTGTTTGCCCCCTGAGCACACTTGCTGGGAACATTTCTTCCTCTGTATTCTGTTAATCATCTTTCCAGAGATGTCTCAGCCTGTTGTCACTGGGGGTCAGTCACTGAGTGTTTCTCACCTGCTCAGACATCTGGATGATGAACATATTTTCAGAATAGTTGCCTTACAGACAGGTTTGGGTTTGAGTTATCTAAAATATCAGTCATAATGGAAATACTGAGCTTTTCTAAAAGTCTGGACCTATTTTAAAATCATGAATGTGATTTATTTTTTGATTGACTTTACACATTTAATTCTTTTTGTGGAAAAGCTGAAAATTAATGCTTAATAGAAATTTGGAACAGAAGGAGATTGTCACTTGATGTCTGAATCACATCTCATCCTTTTCAGTCACCACCTCTTTATTAGCTTCAATATGCTCTGGATTAGACTACAGATGCAGACAAGTTTATTCATTGCATACCCTTTAATATTTTCACATTTGTGTTACTGCTGTGGCAGGCTGTTCATAAGAGATACAGTATTGTCTGATAAAATTAAATGGCACTGATGATCAGGTAAATAACGGAAAATTTCACCTTTCTCCCTGTGTAAGGATTTAATATGAAATACAAACCATAGGGTCTAGTTCCTGAGTTCATCTCTCAGCACACGTCTTGTTCAGGTCACTGGACATATTAGCTGTATAAGGGTGGTTTGCTTAAATGTTAAACACAGCAGGAAAATAAGATCAGAGGGTTAAAAAGCAGTAAATATTTCTCAGCTTCACTATGTTTGAATCACCAAAAGCCAACGACAATCACAGCACCAAGTAAAGGTGTCTGAGTTCAGTATTTGGAAGGGTCCTATGTCAAACCACCATATTTACTGAAACACCAGGTGACTCAGGACCCAAGCAGCCTTCCTGTGTTTGCATGAGTTTCCATGTTTGTTAAAATACATACAAATCCAGGAGGGAAAATCCTCCCTGGGTACCAAGAGTACAGAAAGATCCAATAAAAAACTGTTGCACAGGCAGTGCTTAGCAGACCTACCCCACAGAAAATATAAGACAATTAAAGGTGGTTTCTTTATTCTAAACTGGAAAACCTAAGATAACCCTTGGACCCCAAGTTTCTAAAGGCTGCAACAATAAAAGCTGGATGGGATTCAAGTAAATATAGTGTCAACTTGAAGGGAGAGAGAGCAGCAGTGGGTGCCTGGTAGATGGCTGACCCGAGGGCAGCAGGGTGCAGCAGACCATGGGGAGAGGCAGGAGGCCTTTTCTGTCCATCTGGCAACTCACACAAGGACTTTTTATAAAGAGAGAGCAAACCAGCCTGCACACATCTGATGTTTTTCCCAGTCTCTGCAGTGATGTAGACATTACAGACAAGAATGGGAGTGCAGGGAGAGGCAGAGAAGAGCACAACAAGAGGTACCTCATATCCCTCTTGAGTTGAGCAGGACCCTCTGGTAGGACAGCAGAGAAGCACCAGCTGCACCAGGCAAACAGCCCTGAGCATGGCAGGGTTGGGCTTGTGGCTGAACCAGCGGGGGCTGTGGGAGCCTGGCAGTGCCCTGTGAGCATGGACAGGGCACCTGATGGCCAGAGACACTTCACTACACCCACAAAACCTGATGAGCAGTGAGAATGGCAGCTGGCAGGAAGGATAACATGAGATCCTTGATTTGCCTCCAGGAGTGGGAGAGTGGATTGAAAAGTAAGAGGAATGGTCAGGACTTTAGTTCTCTGTTCCTGACGTAGCTGTGCAGCTGTGGACATCTCCCTGCCCTCTGCAAAACTGACACCACCACCACCACCTTTATCTGCTTCACAGGAGCATAGAGAGCTTTATGTTCATGGCAACAAATAAATTACTGCTTCACACGTCCAGGTAGCTCTGCTGTCAAGCTGTCAGGCCACAGAGGATTTACTTCATCTGTTATTGACATGCAACAGTCAGGAGATCATTCAGGCCATTAATTATTCACAGATGTTATCACTGCTCCAAGCAGAATGGAGCTGGTTTCCCCTTTGTAATTAAAAAGGAGATAATTTGATGTGTGATATAGTTCACCACAGCACCCAGGAACCAGACACACCTGATCACATCCCAGAGTGATGATAACGCACGACAAGAATTGTACTTGTGAAAGGTGCCCTGCCACTGGCTTAGGCAGGTGGGAGCTGTGAATGGCTCAGCTTTGCTCCAACCCTGTATCCAGTGAAGGCAGTGATAAGATTCCCACTAAGCTGTGGGAGCCAAGGCAGATTCAGTGTGTAGGTGTTTTGAAAATCCTACCTTCAAGCTCAGTTCAAAGTCCATTAATACTAAAGGTGTCTGTTGACTGTATTAAAACTTGGCTCAAACCCATATCTATTAGATCACTGAGCCAAAAAATATGGCTTAATCCTATTAAATATTAGCCTGCTTTAAACTGGATTTCCTAAGTAGGTAAGCTTTCTGACTTCTGTCAGCAGCAAGAGCTGTGCACAAACCACTGTGCCTCCTTCCCAAACATGTTCATGTCATACCTGTTTTCCCTAGGAATTTCTCCTCGAAATTAACATCCACTTACAATATCAATTCCCCCCCTCCCTTCTCCTGCTTTATTTAGCTCCTCTTTTTAGAAATTACTCTTGTGTAAAGTGATTATTTTAATCTCAAGGTCCATGGCTTTGTGCTTTCTGCAGAAGTTTGGTATTCTGGTGAATCCAGAAGGTTTGATGGTACAGTGGAGAGTACCTGGCTACTTACACAGTGTCCAGGCACATAAGGTCTTTGGACTGTGCCATCAGCCCTTGTCACTCCTTTCACTGTTTTTCTTGTGTCTTCCTATGTCCCATACCAAGGACTGAGTGTTCCCTCACTGATCTCTCTTTCTCTCTCTCTCTTCTCCCCCTCTCTCTCCTTACCTTGCTACCACTATTGGGATGTAGAGTAAAGATGCTGGTATCAGGACTTTGGTTATGTTGGATGAGCAAGGAGGTAAGTTCAGATTGCTTCAGTAAGGAAGTATAACCCTTCTCAAAGTGCTGTACTGACTGTGTGCAACCCTGGAAACGAGGGACAGAAAATACGTGTGGTTGTGCATGAGAACCCCAAAACCTCTTTGCCTTTAGCTTTGTTGTCCAACAGAGAAAAATGTACAACAGCTGCCTAAGAGTCTACTTCTTTTGATCTGCTTCCCATTAATGTCAAAGAGAGCTGCAGGCTGATCTCATCCAAATCACCATTTGATTTCAGCAAGCTTTGGGTCAAGATCCAGCCACATGATGAGAAGATTTACCTCTATAAGTGTAAAATCCAGCATTATTTATGCAGGTGCTACATAATTTTCCCACTTAAATCACAAGTGAAATGCATGCAATTAATGCATCCCAAGAGAAGGCAAAATGGCTTTCGTTTGTGTAAGATTCAGTTACTTTTTGTACAATAGTAAGGCAGTGAAAATGACAGAATTCTAGCATTAAAAGTATTACACAATCAACTCATTACAATTGTCCATATAGGAGGTTTCAGACTTAGACTACCTGTCCGTGGATGACAATGACAGAGCCTGATATATTCAATACATTCCAGGAAATTACATTTTTGCCCTTCATATTACAAAGAAAAGGCAGATTTCTCTCCCTCTCAATAAAACTAATAAGTCTTCATTTGCCATAGATCCACAGCCCCAGCAAAATGATGTCTCCAATAAATCAACAGAGTAGAAATTTCTGCTACTCTCTATCAGACCAGCCCCCTAAAGTCCCTTGTTATTATTTACTATGTGGCATAACACAAAATTATTATTAGGAAATGTTTTCTGCAGAGGTAATGCTGTATTACTCATCAAACCCAGACAATGATAATAATCAAAGATACGGAATTCTTAGGAAATGGGCTGCACAACCTGACAGGTCCTTTCCAGTTTTAATGTCCCTGCCTCTCTGACACTATAATGAATGAAAAGTAATAACAGGACCTAAATGGAAAGTATTTTCTTCTATTTGCTTTTTTTTTAATGTACGTCTCATTGCTTTCCCCCCCCACATCCCCCCTTTAGGGAAAAGAATTTAACTCAACCAAATTTTGTCACATCGATTTGTCTTGACAAGAAAAATATTATAGAGAACATTTTGTTGTCTTCAAAAAATAATGGCAGTAGAAGAACTACCAGCCAATATAGAAAACCAGAAATTACTTACGTTGAAACAGATATGGCACCTGTCTAAATAATGTGTTTTGTTTCAGCAGTGGATTATACAGTTGTAATAAATCACAAATATTGTCAAAGAAAGTATGTTAATATCCAGGTGTGTCTTGCAATGTAATTCACAGGCACAGCACCAGAAACTTTAATTGTTCCTGGCAATGTATGTTTCTGTTTTTTAACTGTTGTATTTCCACAGATTGCTAGGGAGGTTTATTTTGATTTTAATCCTGAATTTTGTTGAGTTTTTAAAATTATTATTTTGGAACTCTACTGTTGTTAAACCCCTGTATTCAAAAGTTTCTTGACTGATTCGCTCTGTAGCCATGACAGGAAGGACAATCTGGGTGAGCCAAGGAGCTGAGCCTGGACACATTCACATCTCTGGAGTCCAGGGAGTTCAGTATCAAACCCTTATCGACAGTGAAACCTGACATGCTTGTTGTATAGTGAGAGATGCAGTTAGTCAATACCTGCAGAAAGAATCAGAAGCTTTCGAAGCCTCTTTAAATTGGTTGTGGTCATGCCTGAAGTGGTTCAGTAAATTTAGCTTATGACTATACAGTGTGGGTTTCTCAAGGAAAACAGCCAAATAATGTTACCAACCCTGAAAATATCGTAACCTTGTACTATGCTAAATGTTTAATTAAGTTTTCTCCATTTTAACCACATGTAGGTGTCATAATTGCTAATTTTTTATTTCATTTTAGCGATAAAGGACTTACACTACTGGGCAAAATACGCTAATGGTGACTTTGAACCCGCTGTAATTAGTGCAATGTGTGCAGCTCACGGATGTCTCAGCAGATTATCAGATTAAGGAAATAATTTGCTAACCCTGCCATGTGATCTCTTTGCAGCTGGCTGCACAAGTCACTTAAGATTATTAGGTGTTAAATATACAGAAAACATGACATTGATCTTTCCAGTGGGCGGCAGGCAGAAGATCTAATCTCTGCACTTGCTTGAAGCTCTATTTCTAGGTTTCCTTACAAAATTGCTTGTTTTGAAGTTAAACAGACCTTACATGGAAAAGCCTTTCTGAGCCAATTCAACCCAAATACTGCAAAGCAGAACTGATTTTCTGGTATCAGTAAGCAGAAGTGTCTGGGATCATAAGAGGATGTAAGTCAAGGTAATTTCACCATGCCAGGTATTAGTACAACAAAGCCAGCCTGGATAGCTGCTGGTGCCCAGAGGTTTAGCACAGCTGGCTGCACAGCAGGTGACAGAGTCTGTCATGACCTGCAGAGATCTGGAGCCTCACAAGAGCTCTCTGGTTCACAGAGAATGGCACTCTCATAAAAACTAGAGATCTCCTCCAGTGTCCTTTGAAGAATGGGAACCTGAGTAGCACCTCTGCAATATCAAGAGTTATCATTTTTTGGGTCAGGTATTGTCACCCCAACCAGTTTGACACAGCTCTTCCCCCTGGGATCCCACAGGAAGGAGCTAGGAGTTTAGATTTTCCTTGCTGAGTTTTTTTCCATCACTAGGAAAGTTTTTCCCAGACCACATGTGCATCCATAATGCTTACAGTTTTTTAATCTGGCCTTGAGTTAAGCTCCCTTAATTAGTGATTTAAATATAAATATGTATATAACTCTTTAAACTAAAATACTTGTATTTTACATGAAAAATAAATGCTGCAAAGGATTATTGAGCAATGGCAATTCCTCTGCTTCTTTAAAAGATGCTAACTTAGGAAAATGTTAATCTTTGGATTCATTTTGATTAAAAGCAGACAGTAGGAATGAAACTAATAGTACAAAGTGAAGATATGAAGATAAATCTGAAGTGTTAAAACAGAAAAGGTCCCAGACCGGTAACTCTATTCATCCAAAGGAAACTCCCATCACCTGGACATATTAGCAGGGTTAAAGATTTGGACCTTCAAGGACATTTTTTGTGTGATGATGTCCTCATGTAATTTATTCCAGAAGAATTTTATTCCTGTATTCCAAATGAGGTGGAGGGGAGAAACTTTTCCAATAACAACAGTAGAAGCACAGTAATTTTTCATCCAAGACAAGACAGAGGAATAGCCACAGCTTTGATAAGAGGCAAAGAAAATGCCGGTGCAATTGGAATTTTCTCCTTGCACTGTGAATGCACAACCAGCAATGCCAGGGAACACGGGGAGCAGATTAATCTACCCAGCAGATCTTACTCCAGATCAAGCTTATAAAGGAGATGAAACCTGGAAATAACTGGGTGATCTCACAAACAAAAGCACTGGCACCAGTTGATGGCACACATGGGAGCTGACCTCCATTGCTTTTGCAGGAGTTGTGAGTTTGGTAGTTTTGTGTGTTATGGCTAATTAACAAAATAAAAGGGGACTAACAACTACTCCAGTTTTCACAGGGAAGATGATATTAATTATGCTGAAATCGTAGCACAGAACAAAAGACAAATGAACCCACACAAAGCAGGTTGTGCCTTTGTCTACTGTTATTTTTAGCACAGCTACACGTGGGCTCACAGCTCTCCCCTCCAGCTTTCTTCCATTGGTACCTGTGCCCAGCAGTGCCTTTCAGAGCACAGCTAGGTCAGAGCTCAGGATTTGTGTACAGACTGTCCCAGAAATATACTATGTTCCAGTATGATTCTCCTTTATGGAAAATGGGATGATGGCACAGCATTGGAAATAGTTAATCTGCTGAGTCTCAAATTAAACTCTCTTGCATGCAGTTATGATTACGATGTGTTCTTAAGATGTCCTTTTTCTTTTCTTCCTTTTTTTTCTAATTAAAATTGTCTTTGGGGGAAATTGCTTCACTGCACAATACTCCAGGCAAAGGAGCAAGTTCTGATCTCCACAGGCATTTAACTAAATTTCAAACTCAGGCCCCAGATCCTGGACATCAGTGAAGGAATATTTATTATAAATTACAGATGGGCATGCAAAGGTGAAGCAACACCACACTTGCTCTGTGCTGGTCTTCCTACCAATGCCTTGTATGATGCTCTTGCAGCTGTTTTTGCTCAAGACACCACAGGAGCAGCTGAGGGATGCCCTTGCTACACCTTCCCTGCCCCAGCCACTTACCCAGACCAGTCACAGGATGGGGAATTGCCAGGATGTTACAGAAGATCCTGGCAAAGACCCACTGGCAAATGGTCACAATGCTATGATAAAACTAACAGGACTAGCTTATGTTCCTTCAGTTACCTTATAGAAGTAATTCACAAGTATAATGATACAGGTAAAAAACTATTTTTGTATGTGCCTTAAGATGAGCATTTAATTTTCTGTAAGATCTGGAAGATTTATGGTCACTACCTTGAAATGAAAGTGATATTCTCAGACATCAATACACAGAAAAGGTTGCAGAGTTTTCCAAAGGGAAAAAAAATGAAGGAAATCACAATGAAACATATCTCTGATGTGTAGTCTGCTTCCAGACAGTACCAATTCTCTAAGATATATATCATACATCATACATAAACATATAGATGCAGTTTATTCAAATAATACTGCAACAAACTGTCAAAAGATGCTCAAACTCTGACCTTGTAGGGCTTCTCTAAATGGAAGACAAAAGACATTATCTCTTGTCGGTGTGAATTTGCACAGGTTCATGGCACTGTATGCCAACAAACTGTCTTCTCTAAAACCTTTTGATAGAGCACAGAACATTGGAATAGGGAAAGATCTATGGAAACAGACATTAAATTAACTCTCGATAGCCATCAGATTTCCTATCAGTAGTGATTCATTCTGGGCCACATTTTAATAGCAGTTGTACCAAAACAAATCCAGCGTGACCCCATTAAGTTAATTCCACTGTAATATTTATGCCTCAATAATTGTGGTTAGACTCATGAATCCATTTCCTTGCCTGTGGGACCAGATCTTTGACAGGTATAAATTGGCTTTGCTCCACAAAGCCAGCACAACTATGCTGATTCAAACCAGTTAACAATGCAGCCCATGACATTAACAACTAGCAAGTGGTTTTAGGACCAGCAGCCAGCTGTCTAGACTTCTGGGCTACAAATATGACATGGGGTTTTTTACACTGATGAGGCTCCCTTTAAAGGAAGATAAATCAGTTGTGGCTCCCTTTCCTATTCAGCAATAGCCCAGGCATCAAACACAAATCCTGAAGTAGGATAAATAAAGTCAGGATTCTAGAGAGGGCTGTAATTTAAATGGAAGTCTTTGAGTTTTGTCAAATCAACAAGAACTCATTTATTGTGACAGAACAGAAAATAGGTAAAGTTCAAAAGGACCTATTACATATATGGCTTTAGAGAATGTGCATCTGAGCAAGGAGAATTGCTTCCACTGAGAGCCACCAGTGGTACCAAATCTAGGACTGACCCATGCAGTGTTTACCTGGCTTTTGCCACTGGGCAGACCAGGTTAGAGAAGCACTGGCAGGAAAATCGATGGAAGAAAGATCAGATACCTCTCCTCCCCCCCAGTGTCAGAATGCACATGTGGGTACAGCCATCTTTTGACTAAAAGGGGCTCTGTGACAGAAGTGCAGCAAATCCCATCATGCTGCATGAACCAGCATCGAAGCCAGCTCACGCTCCCACAGCTGCTTCTCAGAGCGAGAGCAAGCGCTGCCCAACCACGCAGGAGCAGGAAGGGCCCGGGGTTAGCCAGGAGCAGGAGCACAGGGAGGGGTGTCCCCTTCTACCACAGGCTCACATTTCTGATGAGAACCACAATCTGTGCCTACAGACACGAACCAAAGCTTCTGCTGAAGCCTAAATTACAACGTGCATTAAGACAATCCAACCTTGCATGCCTGGTTCTCAGCTCAGCAGTTTATCTGGCAGAACTTGTGCAGTGCCTCTCTCAGGTTTCCCAATCCTTCACTTACACAGTGTGTGCCTCTTTTAGAGGGCAGTGCCAGCTTACTCTGATCCTTTAAATATATCCTTGGATTTGGGATCAATAACTGGTATCAGGACAGAGGCCCAGCTAGCTGAGGAGAATGAGAACTGACAGCAGAAAAGCAGATGAGTCTCACCATACTGACATGGCACCTCTCCTCAAAGCCCAGTGTCATGCAAGAATTAAATAAAGAGCACAAGTTCAATACTTAAATTATTCCATCTTGAATAGTTTAGCCCAGGATTTTCTAGGCCCTCAAGGGGTGAGGTTCCTGTTTCCCATTAAAATTAATTTTATTTAATTAATTTTAATGGGAACTGGGTATCTAACCCCCCCAGAAAGCTTTGAAAAGCTAAACCTCAATTGTTATTAGAAGCCCAAGTAAGAAATTAGGCTTCTTCATGTTCTCAAAGATGTTAAGAGGAGCTTTTTACTGACGTCAATATGCATATGATTTTCCTTCTAAAATTTCTTCTTTCATTTTTTTTCTGGATAGGACTCAGTTAACATCAGGGATGACATTAGATTCCCTCTATAATGAGTGCTCTTAGTTCCTTCCTCTACAGTCTAATTCAGTGTTTTTCTATTCCATATGGGGAATAGGGATGTATTTGTGTTTTACTGGGATTGCTTTACTTCTCTTCGTTAGGTATAGCTACAATTTTTAATGGATTGCAATATCACTCTAAGTAACCTTCTTATCCTGGGTATTATCTGAGTCTATCCTTTGGGAACAAAAGGTGTAAAATGTAAACCCCATGTAAAATGCTGTCCCTACCACAGACTCTACACAAGACCCTTGATCCCACTGGATCCATATCTGTTTACCTCAGTGGAGAATCTATTCCTACACTTTTGCATCGTGGCATTCTGTTCCTCTAGAACATTTTCCCCAGCTTTAAAAGTGAAAAAAATTAACACATTAAGTTATTCTGAGACACCAAGTCACTTAGAAAACCAAGTCACTATGAAAACCCATCAGCCTTAGGTGGAAATATGCCAAATTCTGTTTAATGCCAGCAGAGAGACAGGATCTATATATGGCTGGTTTCTGGGCCTGGTGCTTCTTAACTTGCCCTGGAGCAAAGCAGAAGTGACCTCACTGAAAAAACGAGTCTTCACCCAATGTCTGTTTCCATAAGGTCCCTTGGGGCTGGAGACAAGGAAAGCCACAGCCAGTGTCCCTCTCCCAGAGAGCGTCAGGCTCCCAGAGTGGTTTCAATTGTTCTGTGGTCACTGAGGTTACTCCTGATTTGCAGCACTCACACCAAAAAGAAAACCAGCCCTGAGGCCACACTCAGACTAGAGATCAATATCCAGTGCCAGTCAAAGTGGCAGGTCTCGGTTTCCTCAGCCTCTGGAAGAAAGGGCACCTTGACACAAGCCCTTAACAGCTCACTCCATTTCTGCTGCCATTAACTACCAGCTCTCTCACTCACTAACCAAAGCTATTGTGCTGCCCAAACCCACCTAATTCCAAGGCATTTGTAAGCGTAAGTAACTGAATTGCTCTCAATGGAAGGACATATTTTCTCTAATACTAACATACATAAATGCAAAATAATAACACTATCTTTCTTTCTCCTGGATGTCACTGTGTCTTAGTAAGTTGATGTATTGTATTATGTTTCTGGACCTTGAACTTTATAACCCTTCCTTTCTACATCACTACATCTTGTTTATATTAATATATTTCAAATAAATTTCTCCTTTGTTTTACTCTTTCCATACTAATAAAAAAATTCTTCAGCATCCAATGCAGCATACATCCTTTCAGCAATGCATCAGCTCAGATTAATGCATTGTAATGTCATTATTAACTCAGTTCTACATGGTCATTTTTCATGTTCTGTTGAAGACAAAATCAAACAAACAAAAATACAATTCATTCCACACTGTCATCCCTTTGTCCTGACCAGAACAACTCGATCGTGTTGAAGAAGGCATGAACCATATCAACCAAGACATGAAGGAGGCCGAGAAAAATTTAAAAGATTTAGGGAAATGCTGTGGCCTTTTCATATGTCCTTGTAACAAGTAGGTACTGGGTACCGGCTCTGCTATGTGGTGTCCAGTTTTTTGTCACAGTGAATGTCTGAAGTTTTTGTCTTTTTTTTCTTTGTCCTTTTCCATCTGCTTCATTCTGTGGGGATAAAATACTTGTGTTTAATCAGAACAACTGGAACGCATCGAAGAGGGAATGGACCAAATCAATAAGGACATGAAAGAAGCAGAAAAGAATTTGACGGACCTAGGAAAATTCTGTGGTCTTTGTGTCTGTCCATGTAACAAGTAGGTGCTGCCTGCCTCATCTCTTTGAGCACTTAAGGCTGATCCCAAAGGCCTTGTGAAGCTCATCCTTGCTAGGCACATGGACAGGATGAGCATGTGGCATGCAGAAAGAACGACTCTGGTTCAAATGCATTCATTTCATAGCCTAGACAACTGACTGGGAGTTACTGTAGATGCATTAAAATCAGGCATACTGCAGTGAAAGCTTCACTGTTGACACCTTTTAATGGTAAAAGTTTCAACATTTTACACAAAGTGTACTGAGTGGTTCCATTTTCCAGCAAACAAAAACCCTGGGGCTACCTTATTCCTGGACACTCTAAATTTTGAAACATATTTTCACTAACAAGTTTCATAAACAAAAGAGCTGAAAAAATCCAGAAGAGGTCATACTAAACATTGCTCAAAATTGTGGATGAAAATCACGTCTTTTTTCATTGTTCAACAGAAATAGTCTGATGAGATCTTGAAAGAGATGTGACGTTTCATAATTGGAACCCAAACTTGAAATGGTTTTCATCCTGCCACAGGCAAAAAAAATTTAAGAAAACCTCAAGATGCCAAATTTCTCTCACTTGGGTAGCACGTACACTAAGCAGAAATGTTGAAATGCATTAAATTTGCTTGCATGCCATCACACTTGAACGAAACCGTCCTCCAAGTAATGCCAAGCTTGTTTTAAATGCCAAATGAAAATGTGATGTGCGGTTATGTGGGTGTAGGAAATTGGGGACCAACCCAAAATCCTTGAGGAATGGAAAATCCAGCATGCAGTGAGTAGGCATGAAACCAGGTTGCAGTGGAAACATTCCTAAATGGTTGGCCAGAGAATGTGCAGGAAACAAAGCAGAGAGTAGTGTTGCTGCAGTATTAAATTCCCTTTCTACATGAACTTTGTTCACAGCCAAAGCCTGACCCTACCCTGATTGTAAAGATGAAAGCAAAGAGAGCTGCCATAGAGTTCATGGGGTATTTTGCCAAAAATCAGAAGAGCAGGACTAGGATTTTTCCTTATCCATCACATTTATTTTGAAGTTAATTCCCCTGGGACACAATGCAGATACCGCCTCAGGTTTTTTTACAGAATCTATTTTGCTTTTTTGCACCAAGCCCTGAATAATTTTTTGGGGTAAACATTTTGCCCAGAATTATTATTGCCTTGATGTGTGATGGGAGAGGGGGCAGGAGGAATGGGAAGAGCTGCATGCACCCCTTTTGCAAGGGGTATGAGCTCTGACAGGCTGTAGCCCTTGCTGCCCCATGCCAGAGGAGCTGGTGCACAAGAGCTGCGGGTAGAAATGCAGCAGAAAGTTGACGTCTCCCACACTGTACAAGCTGTAAAAGCTCAGAACTGACAGCCAGACATGTGACAACTATGGGACAGCAATGGGATTAGCACCTGGCACGTGGCACTAGAACATCTGCAACTTTGCTACGGCTACAGTGTCATCCTGCAAGAACAGAATGATTCTGCAGGTGATGTATGGGGCATGAATTTCCCTTCTCTAAGGCATTCTGACCCCATCAGTCTGCAGCCATATTTCAGAGAGCAGTGCTAAGAAGATGGATAAAGAATGGTTTTAGAGCCTGTTCTCTGAGTCATTAAGCCAGGACTCCACTGGTACAGATAAGATGACGTTCTGAGGAGTGCAGTGTGGGCATCAGAATCACCATGATCCCCTAATGCTCTTCTGGCTGGTGGGAGATTAATGGCATATATTTATAAAAAGATTAGCCACTTTACATGTAACTCTACCCTGATAGACAGTGAAAGTACAGATCTCTGAGCCTTAAAAATATGTAAAGCTTGAGCCTACATTCTTAGGAGACCCAAAATGCCCATGGTATGGAACTTTGACCAGGCTGAATTCAAAAGGACAACTGCTATTGACCATGAGCAGATCCAAGCTCCAACTGTTGACTCTAATTGGAAGTCCACAAGAAAACAAGAGATCAGATTCTGGGTGTATAAAATAATTTACCTCAAACACAGAAACTGTCTCACTGACAAAGTTGCACAGGTCTAACGAACAGGCAAACCCTGTAAATGGATCTGCAGCAAGAGAATTACTTTCAGGCATTTCTAGAAATGCCAAAGCTAATGTATAGTTTCAGAGAACTAAAATTAAACAAGCCAACCATCATATTTTTAAGTCTTCACAAACTTTAGTAGGAAATAAGCAACAGAACAGATGAGTAGGAAAGATCTTCTTTTAATCTATATTTTAATTCTATATTGGATCATACAACACATCTTCAGGCTCATTTAAAACTGAGCTGCTTCAGGGGGCATGGAAAGAACATAACACCAGAGATGAGTTTGTCATGTCCTTTCCCAGATCTCCCAGAAGCACGTTCAGTTCCTCCCCCAAAATCCAAGCCACGGGGCTGTTTATAGGACTGATTGGAGCTGACTAAGGAACAGGGAAACCACTGAGATTTGCATTTCCCAGTGGTTTTGTTGGAAACAGCCCCATTTCCAGAATAAAATCAAGAACTTATACCTGTGGACCCCAAACCCTTACATTCCCCTGTTAAAATCCTGTCTGGTGACCCCAATGACAGCAGCCCTAAATAGGCTGCACATATCAATCTGCACTCTAGGGGTGCCTGGATTTTAAATTTCTATCCAGGGCAGCTCGGTCAAAAATGGCTTTGTGAAGGTTAATGTAACTGCCACAAAATACAAATAGAACAAGTTGCTAGGATATTTTTGAAGTCCTGTGGTTTAAAACTCCTGAAGGAAGTGATGATCCGTTTTTGCCTGTGTCTTGCTTATTGTGAAGGCTGTTACTGCTGATGCATTGAGGGTATGATGAACTACTGGGGCAACTGTGCTTAGTGAGAATGCTTTACTTCTTATTCATGCCTGTAGCTGGTGCATGAAGAAAAATGTAGAAAAATTTCCCTTTCTGATGCTAGATTGCTCGTATCTTTTATTTTCTCCTGCACTCATTTCACTTCTGCCTATTTTTCTTTTTGTCTCTGTGGACAAAGGTTTGTACATCAACTGTCGATGTATGATTACTATTTTCAAGTACCGATATATTATTTGAAAAATCGAATGAACCCTATAATAAAATGATCCCCAAATCACCTTGTGAAAGGTCAGTGGCTTTAAATGCCTATTATGCCACATACATATTGAAAAAATACCACCAGAAGCCAAATATTCTGCATGGTAAAATGTAAAATTGTAGCCAAATCTGTTTTTCTCTAAGAGGGTGTGTTGCTGTGATGTGATGTACACACTATACTTGGCAGTTCTGTTTTTATGTCTGTCTGCCAGTACGTCCTCTGTGTTTGATGTCAAAACATATGTGTCACTGAAATGAAATGATGTTTTCTACTTATCTGTATTTCTTCTCTTCTTTTTCTTTCTTTTCTTTCTTTTTTTTTTCTTTAATTTTCCTTCTTTCTGGAAACTAAGTCAACATCCAAAAACCTGTGTGCAATGTTGTAGACCTGACAATTGCAATTCACCCTATTGGAAACTAAACCTCTGACCATCACTGTTGTGGCAGTAAAGTAAAAAATAAGCAAAAAACCCACCCCCTCCTTTTATTCAGGATTATGATATATCGGTATACAACCAATGACCCTCTATCTGAAAACTCATTTGCTTGATTCAGCTTTTAGCTTGGAGAGGTAAAGAGTTTTGCATTTGTCTCGTGCTCTTGGTGCTTTGTTACTCATCATCTTTCTCACATAGGCTTAAATCAAGTGATGCTTACAAAAAGGCCTGGGGCAATAATCAGGATGGTGTTGTAGCCAGCCAGCCTGCACGTGTCGTAGATGAACGGGAGCAGATGGCCATCAGTGGTGGCTTTATCCGCAGGTGAGCCTTTCTAGCCGCTCTTTTCTCTCTCTTCTCCTTGCAACTGATATATTTAGATTTCTTCCATATGGTCATGAGTTCTGTGGTGCTCGTTAACTCCTTCTGAGGTGCTGGGTGCTGTGATGGAGCCAGGGTTTTCCACCAAGTGGTGCTCAGATTCAGGCTGATGGTGATTAAGACACATCCTAAAGGTTTTACAACCAGGGACTTCTCCTGACCCTGAGGGTCACCTGAGCTCCCGTGCAAAGGATGGTGACCATGCTGGAAATCCTGGAAGTAAGCATCTTGGCCTTGAGAACCAGAAGATGCTTGAAAACAAAAGCCCAGACCTTTCTTTTTGAGACTGCCCAGATTTGGGCAATAATAAACTAGAAATAAAATCTATTTATTTATTTCACAGCAGCACTGTGAGGGTGCAGACAGCCATGGCCAGCCTGCACTGTCCTCGGCACTCCAGCTCCCTGTGTGAACACTTTTCCTGGGGGCCTTATTATGGGTCTCACTAATGACACTTGTCAAAGGCCTTAGAAATGAAGTGTCAGATAAATACTAGTTTATTGCCATTATGTCTCAAGGCGTGTAGTGCCCATTATCCGTTCTTGCCAGAAGATGTACCAAGCATTCAGCAGCCCTCCTTTTCTTTTCAACAACAAAAAAGCCTCAGGCTTCCTGCCAAAGCACCAAGCCAAGCTCAGAACTTGATGAACACTTTAAACTAGAGGTGCACCCCTCACCTGCTAGTGAGTATCCTCAAATCCTCACTGCATGGGGAATGATGCCCATTCCTCAGCTGCTGGGAAGCCACAGCTATGGAGAAACAGAGTGGGATCCCATGGGCTCTCAAATCAAAGCCAGTTTGATGCACACAGCTATATTAAAGGCAACCCCACTGCAAACTTCCCACAACACACAGGGATCCAGCACAAAGTACCTACTGATTACAGAGCTTATGGGGTGTGTATTTAGATGACAATGCTATCAGCATGGATAACACCATACCAGTAGGCAAAGCTTTGATCTCTGAAGATTAAGGACTCTAGATTAATAAGTAATTATCTTTCCAAAAACTATTATCCACTTATTTTTTTGGCTGCTGTGATAAAGGGAAATCAGTGTGATAGAAACAATGCTGTCATGCAATCTGGAGCATGGGATGGAGTTGCCATTTAAGCTTGATTGGTCTGCCATTCACTTTTTTTTTTTTTTTTTTATTTCTGCAAGGCAGCCCCACTAAAATGAAGGCTGGGGCATGATAATAGAATAGCAGTGAAGGAAGTTTATTGTTCTGCAAATAGCCTGGAGCATCCTTTGGGCACCTACATGAACACAAATTTCATAAGAGGCTCAAAGCAGGAATTTTCGGAGTGGGACCCATGGACCTTGCATTTCCCAGCATCAGTCACCACCTGCCTCTTCAGTCACTGGAGAGTCGAACTGGGCCTTGGCTCAAGCACAAGTTTTTCCTTCTGAAAAGCAAGCAACTGCAAAAGCTGGTGCTAAGAATGAGAGATAAATGATCTTTACTAAAGCCAGTAAATCTGACAGAAACTGTTTCTGTCTTTCACGAGAAATACAGTCAATTAGATATATTGTGAGGTCAGGATTTTCACAGCTGAAGCAACTCTTCCCCAATATCTCTGTGAGCCCCGAGCATACAAGGACTGGACAGTATTAATTAGCTATCTGCAGTTTAAGGAGGGGAGCTGCTATTGCTGTAATTCCACCACCTCCCAGCACTTCCCATGAGCACTAACCACACACAGATCTGAATGGAGCACCCTTTCATTCTTTGGGAACTGCAGAGAGGTACAGCATGTGGTACACACAAGCTCAGACAGCAACACTTCTACCAACAGCAGACATGAGCAGTATAAACAGAGCACTGATAACCCAGACAACTGAGCCCAACATCCAAAAAATAAGCATATAACATTTTTCAGGTTATCTACTCATTAATCCCTTTTGTTCAAAGCTGAGCACAGCAGCCTGCCCCTCAGGTGACAAGTGACAGAGGATGCAGAGGAGGTTTTGGGTGAACCACAGTTTCAGGGGGAATCTCCTGTCTCTGCTTTAAAGAATTGGGTTTTTGCTCCCAGGGTAACAAACGATGCCCGGGAAAATGAAATGGATGAGAACCTCGAGCAGGTCAGCGGCATCATTGGCAACTTACGTCACATGGCCTTGGACATGGGCAACGAGATCGACACACAGAACCGCCAGATTGACAGGATCATGGAGAAGGTAAGAGCTGCCATTTCCATGAGGACCCCAAGAGGGACTCTGTTTTCCCTTCTCCAAGCATGGGCCTGGAAAGGACAAGGGACAGACACAGCTCCTCTCTTCTCCCTCCAAATCCTTGGGCCAAAGCAGAGCTCATTGCTGTGAATCTGCACCTCCAGTGCAGGCTGGATTGAACCCTTGCTGTTGAGTTTGCCCTTAGCAGACATCAATTATTATTCTCCAATAACTCTGTAAAAGGACAAGTGCCCTGAGCTATGCTGAACTGTGGGGCTTAGAACTGACTGCCCTGGCATTTCTTGGAAAGTTTTAAATCCTCCTGGGCTTTTCCTTCCTGGAAAACTCCATGAGCAGCTCAGGATTAGATCACCTGCTTGGAGGACCCATCCCCAAAGAAGAATGGGGAATTATTAAGCAAAGCTTTGCCCCATGGTAACAGTGCAGCCAGTTTTGTTGTGCTGCCTATAACAACATTAGGACACAGATCTACTTGCTCTCTTGGGGAAGGGTGTGTGTGTATGTACATATATATAGATGTTTATTTATACATAACTGGGCCCCACCTGGCCCCAGTGAAATACAAAAGCTCAGCATTAGTTCTGCAAAATCACCATCTAAAAAGGCAGAGAGCACCATTCCAGTGCCAGACCTGCACTGCAGATTTCTGAAGCAGAGAGCAGCCCCCTCCAAGCCTGTCTGGGAGCTCACTGCCATCTTCAGATCCCAATATCTGCAAGCCATCTGCACTGGTACTGGCAGAGCTCCAGGCACAGGCACAGGCAGGCTAAAGTGACATAAGAGGCTAGATCTTCATCTGGTGTAAAATCAACACAATGCTCCACTTCCGCTGAGATTTACACAACCTGAGGATCTAACCCAAGGACTTACATGTGGTGCTTAGAGTTAATTCTGACCTTAAGTGGTAGAGCTGGTGCTCTTGAGCCTTCTTACATGCACACGCCTCCTCACACAAGCAGGATGCCTGTACCTGTTTTTTGTGTCAGTTAACAATATCAGAGTCTAGTAATAAAAAATTAAGGAAAATACTGCACTGAGGGATTCACTCCAAGAGCTTTCCTTATTGGAGGTAGATTCTGGAGAGAACTAGGTGAAGTGTATGTTGTCTGAAGGGTGGGAAGATCACCCCTGACAGAGAGGCACTGTAGAGCACATGGCTTTGCGTTGGTCTTTATAAAGCTGCTGAGTTTGTTTGACTGTATTGGAAAATGCACTGTATTACCAGGATGCCATTAGGCACTGTTTCATATTTCTGGGAAAATGAGGAGCATCGGGGGGAAGGATTTACTGCAGCTATCCATATGCAAAGAACTAGAAAGCAGCACATCTCTCTGTACGTTGAGAAGGGCAGGGAGTTTATACAGCCTATACCATGAGTATCTCTAAATAAGAAGCCTATGACATACATTATTTTCTTAAAGCAATGAGGATGTGCACTATCGTGTTCCCACTTCCCTAGCACATGTCACAGTGGCAGGAGACGTGCCCTGTGGATGGAAATCAGTGGCATCCTACCTGTGCCTGCAAGCCCAACAAGTCACTGTTGTCCTACCAGCTCAGGCTTGCAAATATCTGGATTTTTGACCAGGTCCTCTGTGCACATAAAGCACATGGGCCAAACCTCTAAGAGTGCATGCTGAGAGCAGTAAGCTATGTGGTCTTCCTACAGACTTTGGCATTTTGTACAGCAATGGAAAAATAAAATTGGCAGCTAATGTATTCATAAAATCACCCAGGGCCCTTGGCTAAGGAACAGTGACACATTTGTGAAAGATGGATTTGCATTGTACACAGAGGAGTCGTCATGAGAGCAGCACAAAAATAAGACAGTCTTCAGTCTTAGTGAAAAATAAGCCAAATTTCTCAGAGTAAGGACACACAGTAATGAGGTACTAGAAAAAGAAACACAATGCATTAGTAAAACCCTCTATAAAAGACAGAAATGATGGTTAGCTGGATAACAGTGAAACCACAATTGCACACACATCCAGTCTGCAATGAAATATGCCAACAGACCCTCGTCCCCCTCACAGCATTGCCAGGGCTGTTTTCCTGACCAGTTGGAGCACTGTGCTTTGGGTCAATTATGATCATTAGAAAGACCCTTGGCTGGCACAGTTTGCAAAAGTTGGGGTGCATCACAAAGCTAACCCAAAGCACCCAGGGATGCATCATAAATGCCCCTGAAGGATTTATGTTATACTGGATGCATGCACCCCAACCAGAGCAATCTCATAGTGCAGAGATGTAATCTGATTTCTCCACAGCAATCAGGAGAGCAATGAATAAAAGGCTTTATTTATCCTTTCCTCAGATCATAGAGAAAGGGACAAAAACCAAAATAACAATGTGATGAGTAGGTCAAATGGCACCATCACCAGAAGAGCCTGGCCCCAAAATCTACCATAAATAGGAGACTGGGAGGAAAGTAGAGGGGGCTCAAAGCACTCTATCTTGACCTAAGTGGGAAGGTCAGCACAAAGAATTCCAGTGCCTTCAATGCAACATCACCCACCAGATACTAAAGTCTAAACATCATTAGGAACATGATGTTTCATCACTATTCAATGAATATTCATGCATTTCATGACAAAGGTAACTGCTTCCAAACCCATTGACTTTTCAGGTAGCTTTTTGGCAAGAGCACACAAAATTGTGGTAGACAAGGTCAAACTTACAGCTAAAATAAAGGAGTGTTGCTTGTAATGAGTAGTTTTGCTGATTTATGCTTGTTGAGGAGCTGGCACATCCTACTGCACTAAAAATACACATCTACATAACATTTTTCAAAACAATTACGGAGAAAAGCCCAAGATATTTCAGAAAGATTTATTGCACATCAGTACAAACACTCTTGAAGGATTTTTAAATGCATGTGGGAAAGTTGCTTCACCATTCTGTCTTTGCAAATTGGAGATTTAAAATAAATCTGTACAATTTAGATACACCCCAGAGATGTGGGAGCAATCATCAAAGTCAACAAAATGCAGTCATCAAACCACAGAAAGAGTTTGCTATTGGAGCCCATGCTTTTAAAGCAGCAACACAATTCTCACCTTTCCCACAGGTCTGATTTAAAAATTGAAACCATTTTCTATGTAGTCCCTCTGCTAGAATAAGTCGGCATGGCAACCTGGGGTTGAGTGGAGTTTTGCCAGTTTTTGTCAGCTAAAACAGTGACTTTAGTCTCCAAAACTAACTTCTACAGAGCTACAGAAAGTCATGGTCAAAGTGTCATCCCACTCAGAGAGAACTCCCAAACCTCCCAAGTGGTGCCATTTTATTAATGGCATTTTATAATCATGGCAGGTGTTACCCCAGGGAAAACAGTGCAGTTAATGGCTCAGTGTATGCTGGGCTAAATTGCAGTTTGATTGCTTCAAATCACAGTAAAATCTCTGCCTTTTCTTAACTCCTGTTTATGCTGCTGCCCAATGAAAGAGGCTACTCTGTCTTGCAACTACATTGGTGAATTCTGGAGTACTGGCATCCCTCCCTCCAATTCTCTTCCTTTCACATGCAGAGCAAAGATATCCAGGCTGGTCTTTTCAAAGATCATCTTTGCCAACATTCCCTACATCAGATGATCCAGCTTCTCTGCTGCAGGAGTTTCTACACTGACCAAAATTTTAGTTTTGCCTACAACCTGATGATCTAAATGAGACCACAGTCCAGGTCCACTCAATCTTAAAGGGGTCTGAAGTTTTCCCCAAAATGCAGATGCACACCACCAGGTCTCATGCTGTCATCCATTAGCACTGGTACCACCAGTGCTATTGACAGAAGCAGCTATGGATCTGGAGCAGCATTTAGAGGAGTTCAGTGGAGCTGGCCACAAGCAGAAAAGCTCTGCTCAAAGGCTATATGAAGTAAAACCAGAAAATCTGTAATCTCCTTTTGGATCCCTAATACCACTATAAAAAGCAGCTCTCCTGTATTTTCATTTTTCTGCGACCTAGCCAAAAATATGGAAGTACCCACAAAATATTGTCTTTCTTCCCTCTACTCTTTTTCTCTGTCATACTCACTTTTCTTCACTGTACTCATCCCTTTCTTTCCTTTGTTTTTCCCCAGGCTGATTCCAACAAAACCAGGATTGATGAAGCCAACCAGCGTGCAACAAAGATGCTGGGCAGTGGTTAAATGCAGAGAAGTGCATTTCCTTTTAATGCTGTCCAGCAGGGCAGCACCTTCATGCTTTTCTCATGGTATTTATCTACTAGGTTTGCACACATGCACATATCAGCCCCATTGTAAATGTTGTCCTGTGTAGTTTGTCAGCTTTCCAAAAATGATACTTGTAATTATTTTTTTCTAGATATCTTTCTTTCCAAAGGTTGTACATAGTGCTGATTTGATGGCTATAGCTCACTATGATGTTTTTTGGGGTTCTTCCTTTCCTTTCCTTGTTTCCAATTTGGATTCCTTTCCTTTTTTCCCCCCCCCTCCTCATTTTTCTTTTTTTTTTTATGATGTTTGCTGAATGACAACACTGTTGGAATGCTAAACGTGCTGTTAACCTTTAAATATACAGTATTGTTCTTGTAAAACTGTGACATTCCACAGAGCTACTGCCATGCTCCTGTCTTTGGGTATCATGATGTTTAAGCACTTAAACCTGCTGTCTTCAGTTCTTCATTGCCATTATCTGTTGTTATGATTTCATGATTAGACAATGTGGAATTATATTACTATAACAAGCATTGCACTAAAAAGTGATGTGATTTATGCATTTATGCATGAGGAATAAATAGACTTTTAGACTCCTACTTAAACAAGAATTTTCCCATGGCAGTAGCACACCAACAATGACAACAAAAGCATGCTCAGTATTCGGACTCTTTTGGGACTATGTTATACCAGCAAGTTTGCAGTTGTGCCACTTTTTTCTTGTTGATATATATATAGTTATTAATCATGATCATTTTTTTAATTATGAAAAAAAGAGGGATTTGGCACTCACCATTTAGCCATTGCCAGCAAAATAAAAGCTTGGCTGAAAATATGTCAAAGACAAAAAGAAATAAGTGTAATATATGGGGTTTGTCTGCTGCTTTTGAAGACTATCTTTTGGAGGACACAACTACCATATGAAATGGTGCAAAGAAATGTAATTTTTATAAGGCTCTCTCTTACTAGTCGCTATTCCCCATGTGGTTTGTTATCAGTACAGTTCTCTGTTGCTTACCTAGAGCTATGCACACCAAATCGCTGAGATGTTTAGTAGCTGACAATTAAAAAATAATTAAAAAACCTAAATGAATGAACTCTAGATAAACTGTGAGATAAATATCATTTACAGCATGTAATATGAAAATTCCTTATGTCTCCTGTCAGTTTGTGAAGTGATTGACATTTTGTAGCTAGTTTAAAGATTATTAAAAATTATAGATCTCAGAATCCATGCTTGCTTTATCCATTTGTTGCCCTATGTGTCAGTGACAACTTTTTATTTGCCACTTACCTGGGAGAAGTGCAAAGTCTAAAGGCTCTTTACAAATTGCTTTTGTATTGTATTTTGTGGGAAACTGAAGATGTTGGTTTGCAATACTGTAGAAAAAGTAGCTACACTAAAAATTACACTTGGTACATTCCAAGTGACTGTTATTTTAAATAACCTGGCTCGGATTGCCAGATACTGATTCAAGATATTTTTTTCTTGTTCAAGGGAAAGAAAAAAAATGAAGTAAATGCTATGGTACAGAAGGATACAGTTCCTTAGTAGATAAAATTTAGTCATGTGCTAATACACCTCTTTTTAAGGAAGGCTTTGACCTACAGAATTTGGATAGTCTGCTAACAATAATTTTTCAAATGACTAACAACAGCTAGGGTTTGCTGCCAATGAAAAGCATTATCATATTTTCCCAGGGTTTTTTCCCCTATATGGACAAATTAGAATTAATTCTGCATGAGTGACAGTTCACTCATGTGTCTCACATGGCTGTAAGTCAAAATACACAAAGAAAATAAATGCTTGCATAATTAAAATTGCATGATAATGCAGACAAGCCACATTTTTGTTAGCAGCTTTTTTATTTTTGGTATCTATTAAAAATTCATTTATGCAAATATTTCCCCCCAGTACTTCAAACCAAAGAATAAACTTTAAGCAAACACTTTTAATCTGCTGACCATTTCTAATCCTGTCTGTTTGGGCATTCCAGTATTTGTGACAGCACAATCATTCTGCAATGTCAAAGCCTGCTGGGGGAGGGCAATGTTCATATTGGAAAATGCATCACAATGGGAAGATGCAAATACAGGGATATTTGCAAAGGGTGAGAAATAGATAAACAAGTAATGAAGATGTTAAAGGAGGTATTATTTTTTGTATTTTACAAGAATGCACCCTATCTGAAGAAACTCATACTTCCAAAAGCCATTAAAGCTGATCTAAAATATAACTGTGGCTGTGAAGGAACATGTTTTGACATCTGTTTTCATGTTGAACAAAGATCAAAACCCAAACTATTGGAACTTTTTGCCAAATGGGAAGCTTAAAGGACAGAAACTTTGAAATGTTTCATTGCAGCTGTCTTTGTATCCTCCTCCACTGCATGCAGGGTCTTCTATGAGCTGGCTGAAAAATACTTCAGTAAATAGGTTTAATACATTGAATTTCTCTGCTCTTTTAGGAAATTGACCTTTCTAGGATTAATTATTCTTGAAAGAATGCAAGGAAAGGCTCAATCTCATGTCATTTATCACTACAACAATCTGCTTTTGTTTGTCGAGTTTTGTGCACCCCAAATCCCTGATGTAGCAGCTGACTCAGCAGGGAGGAAACCCCAAGTGTTTTAACCAGAACACTGCCTGGCATGTGGAATTTCCCTTTTTGTCCCCTTTGTCCCTCTGGTTGGCCCCTGGGTCCCTGGTACACTGCAGCCTCTCACTGAGGCTGAATAAGCACAGAGCAGAGTTACCTGCTGGAGGGAAAGGCTCACTACAAGGAATTCCAGCAAGGAGCTGGAATTACAGCTCCCCCAAGATAAAATGGCCATATTGAAAGGCACAAAGTTTAATAAACTATCACTTATTTCTAGACTTTTAATGCCATTTCACCAACAGTTTCTAGGATGGCAAGATCCTCATGTTGGTGTTGGTTTGAGGTGGTCATAGGGAAAAAGTTTTTTAATATTCTCAAGTGGTGTAGCTGAATAAACCACTCAGCTGGATAAATCAAACAAAAAAGACAATGTCTGTTGAGCTCTAAAAATCCACAGTTTAAAGCTTCTTTCATTTCATGCATTCTCCTCCTTTCTTAGCCATTTTGCTGAGAAATGGCAATATAAAAATAACCCCAAGAAAGGATATTTGAATGTTGTTCCTTAACAGAACAAAGTTTGTAAGTGGTATAATAACTCATGAAAAAAGAAAAAAAATTGCCCTAATCAAATATCTAACCTGATTTCAGCAGGGATAAACTAAGAATGAAAACTGAAAAAGGTGAGTAAAAATTAAAGTGGGTTGCCTCTAAGAAACCTTAAAACTTTAGAATGATAATGATTCACAGCCTTAGTATAAACACAGAGCTTTTGAACTCAAGAGTGTTACACCTTTCTGGAGTGACACCAATGCAAGAAAAGAAACTATGGTTAATACTCAGCATCTTGTGGTTTGACAGAGCACATGTTACAAAAAGTGAATGGATTGATGCAAGGGTAATGTGAAAAATAGCTATTATTCTTGAAGATTTGGTGAGATTACTGTATAAAAAAGAAAATTATAACAAAAAAATTAATGTTGCTTGATTTTAATTTGTTTTCAGGAAATGCAAATTATACTAGGTTACATGGACAAAATACATCCTTCATTTCTGAAGAAAACTAAATATGCCAAAGTTCACACAACAAACTGTGAAGCGCCCCCTGAGAGATGCCTGTGCCATGTGACACATTTATTATAGATATACTTTTAATGTAGAAATAGAGATGATAATTCTTCTCTAAAATATTCCGAGTGCCACACTAGTTGTTAACCTCCATAGGCTTTGAATCTGGACCTGAATGTGCAGAGAGCACCAAAGTGATCTTTTATTTAAGATATCTGAATGCAGATAAACCAATCCACACACATTTTTCTCCCTCCTCCTTCCTTCTCCTGTGCCTACATGTGCACACATAACTTTTTTTATTTTAAAGGCATTGGAAAGTGAAGAGATGAGCACTTGGTAATAAGGAAAATTATGTGTGTTAGAGACAGCTTAAGTATCTGCAGGGCTGCTGTGCGTGCCTGTGGGTGTAGGTGTGTAGGATGTGACTGCTGTCTGTTGAGCCATTTAGTTGCCTTTCTAGAGAGAGGACGGTTTGTTTGGAAGTTAGTGAAACACAGAGTATTTTAAAACCTGCAAACAGCTACAAGAAGTGCAGACAAAGGAGAGAAACCCCGCTGAGAAGTTGGGGCGTTGGGCTGCTTGGGTGGGGTCGAGGGGTCAGGTTCAATAGGATTTACGTTGCCAGTGTTGGATCCCTCTGTAACCGTATTAAGAGAGGTTATGTTCGTGTTGTAAAATATCAAATACAGTTTTGAATGTTGTTTTGTAAATACTAAACACCCTGTCCCCCTTCCAAAAAAAAAAAAAAAATCAAACCAAGCCCCACAAGATGGTGGTGAGGGAAATCAAAATAAACCATTATGTGAGACCGTGCTGATTCCTACACATTTGGGATCTATTCCAAGTTCAATGCTGCCCATGCAAATTCTGCCTGTAATGGGTAACCAACTTGGTCAAGCAGTGGATAGCAGATGGAGAGGGGTTCATTTTCCTGGTGTTCTTCCCAGCTCCTTGCTGAATGGGAAAAGTGGTGGCTGTGGGATCGGGGGTCCCTCCTTGCCTTGCCAGAGCAGTGCTGTGAGCAGTCATTCCTGGCTGACTCCCAGCCTTGCACTGCCTTTGCTCCACACCTTCCAGACCACAGCTCCCTCCACACACACTGCTCCTGCTCCAGTGCACTCCACACCTCTGTTCACACCCCTGGCTTCTCCTGGCTCTCCCTGCTCCTTCCTGCTCCCTCCAGCTCCTTGTTCCCTTCCTGTCCTTCTGCTGCTGAATTCACCTGCCTCCACTGCTGTTCCTCATTCTGCTTGCTTCTCATCCCTATGCCTTCATGTTTTTTACCCTTGAGATTTCAGTCAGGCTCTCTCGTCCATGATTTCAGCAGGAAGAAATCATTCAGCTCCAAAGAAACAAACAGCCTCTGGTCACTCCACAGCTGAACACCACACCATTTCACACGGGAAGACTCCTGCAAGGCAGTCTTAGCTCTGCCCTGACAGTCCGAGACAGAAGCCAGAAAATGCATGCTGCCAGGGGAATTTTTTAGATAGTCTATCCAAAAAAGTCTAAAATGTTTCCATAGGCTGATGCAAACAAAGATGTTTGGATAGCTGAGAACAGACAGGAAAGCACTGGGAAGATATTTCACAGAAGGGCAAGAAATGAGAGCTCCTTCAGCTGCTAAATTTCCTATCTCTGGTTCACAGAACAAGCAGTGCTTCTCCATGAGACAGCTGGAGAATCTTTCCTAACAGAGGCAAAACAATTCATTTTCCCTTCTCCCACAAATTTCATTCATTAAAACTATCAAGACTTCAGTTTTGTTGTTGTTGTTTTGGTTTTTTAAAAAAAATTATTTTATTTTACTGAAGCTTTTAAAACTTGTGCTTTTAAAAAGCAGGTAGAGGAAGTAGATTTCCCTCACTCTCACCTGGGATAACCATCCAGTGCTGGGTTTATTTAAGATAAATCCAGAACACCTTAAGTTGGCATAAAACCTCCCCCACTATATCAGAAATGATTTAGTAAACTTTGCTATAGGCAGTCCTAAATTAATTTGCTAAATGTTACCTTAAATACAGGAACTGTAAGTTCTACTTACAACACAGTAGATCTTCTATCCAAATTCTGATCAAAATTTTATTAAAAAGGAACAAACTGGTTCATTTCCACTTTCATGAGGGATTGATGAGACTTCCAAAACATGATGCTTTGGAAAATCCCATAAATCCCACTGTGCTAAGGGGATCATTGGGCATCAAAACCAACAGGACACAAACTTGAGCAAAATGTTTTTAAGAAACCTTACCTATTTTAACTTCCCTGTACAGGATTCCTGGGCTTTACCACATCAACAATAATAAATCCAGCTGATGACAGGACCCCAGAAGCCTGGATTGCTTTAGAGCCAGTTTATAAAGCATAAGAAAACACATGCTGATAAGTTAATTTTGAAGAAACAGAAGCTCCAATTCTGACATTTAGCCTTAAGACTTTATCTTAAATCATATTTTTAGTGCCTACCACACATTTCTGTTTCTTGGATTAAATTAGAATATGAGGATAAATTAATCAGAAATAAAATTTAATGAACTACTACCTTTTTTAGGTGATCCTTACAGCCTTACCCTCAGAAGTCAACCCATATTCATTGACTTTCTCTCAGCCTTGAGGTTAAAAAGAAAGTCTATTTGACCTCTAAATGTCATAAAATGAAGTTTTGAAGCCCTGAACACCCACCAGAAGCACTGGTAACTTAGACAGCAGAAGAAGAGGAAAGGGCTGGGGCTGGAGGAAGGTGCAGAGGAGGAGAAATCCAAGCTGAAAACAGACACAGTAAAATCCATGGTGCAAAGTGGAGTGGTTGCTGTGGCTGTGAGGATGCAGA